ACCAGTTCACACCAACCCACTATTGTCTTTTAGACATTAATTTTAGAATAAGCTTTGTGTAAAAAGTCTAATCATGTTGGGGGAAATTTGTCTAATCATGTTGGGGGAAAAATTGTTATAATACGTGTGCACAGAATTATTCGTAAATGTGAAAATCGCGTGAAAAACCCAACGTGAAAATCATATATTTCATTTCATCTTATTTACATATTCGATTTTATTGTTTACATCAATTTTTAACTTTCATGCTTTGTTCAATTTGTTGTTTAAAATCAGTTCATTTGATAACACCATTCCTAATAACATAGGTACAGACGTACGTGCATGTGTTCAACCAGTGTACACAGAATTGGTTTGCTGTGGTGTCGATCGTTGAGAATGTCCTGGAAGAAGTTAGAAGGAGCAATCCAAATATCAAGGAAGCTTTCATACGGTCAGATAACGCCGGATGTTATCGCTGCACAACTTATCCTTTCAATTCCGGCTATACCAAAGAGAGTTGGCATAAACGTTCGACGTTACGATTTCAGCGATCCCCAGTCTGGAAAGGATATTTGTGATCGACGTATCGCCGTAATGAAAAGTTATATGCATCGGTATCTCAACGAAGGAAATGACATTAATTCGGCATCAGATATGAAGAGAGCACTTGATTCGTATGGTAATGTCAAAAGCTGTAGGGTTGCCGCCGTTGATGTCGATGTATCAAAACAGGTCATGACTGATCATAAGTGGAAGGGAATACAGTCACTGAATAACTTTGAATTTCTGAGTACAGGAATACGAGTCTGGAAAGCGTTTAGAGTTGGCAAAGGTAAACTTCTGAAGAACAAAGTGCTCAAAGATATGGCAAGCCCCCAGCCAAGCACAGGCCTTTGCGTTATCGAAACATTCAGTGATCCGAAGGAAGATAAGGGTGTGTTTAAGAGAATCCGAAAAGAAAACAGATTGACACAGGAGGCGGCTGAGAAATCAGATGGTACTCCCTCAAACGATATAAGTACAGCTAGAGGTTTCAACTGCCCAGATGTTAACTGCATCAAAGTATTTGTATTCAGTAGCGCCCTTGATCGACATCTTGAATCTGGAAAGCACATGTACCGAGCACACCATGAATCATCCGTTGACTCCATTAAAAGAAAATGGATACAAGCTTGCACATCTGTAGGCACTGGCGCAAATGGTGCCAGAGACCTAGAGAATAACACTCTTCATGAATGCAGTGGTGTAGCTAAGGCTAGTGCAGAAGTGGGCTGGGCGTTAAAGAAGTCTAAAACCAGAGGTCGTTACTCAGAACATTTAAAAGCATATTTAAAGAAATTGTTCTTGGAAGGAGAGGAAACAGGAAGAAAGGCAAATCCATCAGATGTGTCATCAGGAATAAAGAGCCTGAAAACTGATGATGGCAAAAGTAAATTATTTGAATGTTCGGATTGGTTGACAGCGCAACAGGTCAAGAGCTACTTTTCAAGATTAAGTGTTCTCAATAAATGCGGTAAACTCCACGCAGATGATATTGCTGATGATGAAATTCAGGTGCTGGAGGAAGCCTTGGTACGACAGGAGAAAGTAGATGCTATCCATTGTGCTATAGAATTATAGAATAGAACCATGATTGACTATTACCACGTCCACGGTGTGTATCATGAATGTTTGTTGTTTTGTTCAAAATATACTTTACAAGCTTCGTTCTTCATCTAACCGGAATTATTATCGCATTTTGGAGTTTTGAAAGTTGCCTTGGCAAACTTTTCAATTTGAAATAAAACTCAGAAGCACAACTTTAAAGGTAAATAAACGTAAAATGTGCTTATACATGTCTCCATAAAATTCTTCTCTTGAAACCAATTTCGCACCTCATTGAAAATTGTTTACATTGCAGCAACAAAAAATAAATTCGATCTGGTTATCAGAAGCCATATGAAGGCGGCTTGGAGCAGTCAAATCACTTTAATTGTTGTTGCAGATGTGAACGGATTATGTGATATTGGCCAAGTAGGGTCGAGCAAATCTACCGTAAATTTTACAGTTAATGACTGCCCTCAAATTTTTTTCTTGTTTTAGTAATTTAAGATATATATCTAATTAAGTAACAGTAATTTTTGTCATTTTCATAGTGGACTTCTGAAATATTGACCTCTGAAATACACAGAACCTATGTAATATCAACTTTGACATTTTTTGCTCATAAACATATTGTTGCCATGGCAACGGCTTAGAAGTAAAAATGCACCTCATTTCTAGGTAACATTAATTAGCATCTCTACTTCACAGAAAAATATGTTTCACACTTCTACAATTTATATTTAAATTTCTGTGGTTCATTGTACTTGGGATATATTTATGCCGCTTTGGGTGGTCAAGATGGTCTTTTAGAGGAAGGTACCGTAACATACCATTAAAGCCACCGATCCAACTGATAATTTGGGATAGTTCATAACTCATTATGTCCCACAATTGTGCCAAGTTTGAGCAAAATCGGTGAACCCACATGTAGCACACCCTGCCTGGTTTTACCTGGTTCTATCATGGACACACTCTTAAAATAATTTTGTAGCTCATATTTTACCAAATTTCGCCTTCATTCGAGCGCGAAAACGGATTCAAATGCCGAGTGTTAAGTGTCCAGATGACTCCAAATAGGAAACACATGGTAGACGCTTCAAAAACTAATACGTACTATTTCGTAAATTGCTGAAAAGTGTACAGCAATCATGCTGCTACAAAACGCAGACACGTAGTTCTTGATTCGCTCCATTTTCATCCACAAGTCATATTTCAATGCGTGAATAAATATAAATCATAAATTATAACCCCTCGTTACCGCCATATTGGATTGTCTCGCGACCAAGCCGTGATTTGTAATTACGTAATTTTTGGTAATACTGGTCACTGATTGGCTAAGTTAACAGTGGACAGTGAACAATGAACAGTGAACCGTGAACAGCTAACAAGTCGATAGCATATAATCTACTTCGTAGATTCAAAAAGGGCTGAAAAACTTTTTTGGACCATATCCGCGTTTTATCCTTTATCCGATAAAACGCGGATACGACGCAAAAAGGGCTGAAAAACGTTCTTTTGACCATATCCGCGTTTTATCCTTTTGGATAAACTGCGGATATGACTTAAAAAGGGCTGAAAAACGTTTTCTGAACCATATCCGCGTTTTATCCTTTTGGATAAAACGCGGATATGACTCAAAAAAGGCTGAAAAACGTTTTTTGAAAGCCATCCGCCCGTCCGTCCGCCACTCATCCGTCCGTCCGCCTTCCATCCGTACGTCCGTGTCTCCATTTTATCCTAACCCAGGAAAGGAAAGGGTTAGGTAAAAGCACAGGTAAAAGCTAATTAATGGGTGGGGAAAATAAAAATCGTTATATTCAAAAATATTTATTATCTAATAGGGAAAAGCGGCTGTTTCACCTCATGCGTTTCGTCCGAGAAAATTCCCAATAAGTCTAACCATAAAATTTCAAGTCCAAACGATTGAAAGCTCTTTAAAGTATCTAAACGTGTTTTTTACAAGACGTACAAAACTATTTTAATGTCTGCGTGACGTCATAATTTGCAACATCAAGAATTATTTAGGCCAGCAACTGATCAAAGCAGAGATTGTATACGAAATTTGTAATAATAATTCTTATTTAACTGTTTTCTTATTTTAGAAATTATTTGTTCGGGCTGGAAACGAGTTCGCTGCGCTTCCGCTGAAAATATCCGCGTACATGACGTCATATATGGTCACGTGGTAGGACGCAATGAATGTAATACACAGCCTACTGTACCATTCCGAATGCATTCTGTGAAGTTGCTGAAAAGGTAGAGGGAAGAAGGGCATCCGAATGGTTACGTTCAAGCGATACAATATCTCCTCCCCCATGTGGAGGGAAGGATATATACATCATTGTCAATTACTCATGTATGGAGATTCTGAAATTGTCAGGTAAATTTTAACATTGTGTCCACAATCGCAGATTATATAGCCAGCGTGGCCGGCTCTTTTATAAGTAGAGCCTGCCCGAAAGCCCTAGTCAAATTGATGACTCTCGGCAGCCAGCCGCCGAGAATTGTGATTGGCTGAATTTACGTTGACGACAAGTTGATTGACATGTTACGCTAATTTATTCAAATATTTAAAAATAAATACTGTAAAAACAGACGGCATCGCTATATTACAAAGCAGAGATCACAAAGTGGCTATATTAAAGTATAAACCTGTCGGCTAAAATATAAAATTCAAAATTCAAAAGACAAAGTGTAAAATGTATAACATATACCGGTATCTAAACAGAATACGGCAAGCCATACTGCTATTACTGCATTATGTCGTATGATTTTACCGTATGGTCACTATAGTATATAGAGTATAAAACCTTGGCTGTCCTTGCCTTGTTTATATTTTGCTGGCTGGCAAATTACGATTATATAAAACAATACATTCCCCATTGTGTTTAATACAGTACACCATAATAATTCCTGAACAGATTAAAACTTCCCTGGTAACACCAGTATTTAAATCAAATGAAGAAAATAAATTTGAAAACTATAGACCAATATCAGTTCTAACTTGTTTCGCTAAAATACTTGAAAAATTAATGTACAAACGGCTAATAAATTACGTTGGAAAAAATAATATTTTATCTGATCATCAATATGGATTCAGAAAAAAACAGATCAACTGAATTTGCAATAATCGAACTTGTTAATAAAATTACAAGAGAAAAGATCACGGAAAATACACCATAGGTATTTTCTTAGATTTGTCAAAAGCATTTGACACCATTGATCACAAGATTCTGATCAGTAAATTAGAATATTACGGAATTCGTGGCCTAGCAAGACTTTGGTTTGAAAATTATCTTACAAACAGGAAACAAATTGTAAAATATAAACAAATAATGTCAAACGAAATGATAGTACAAACTGGGGTCCCGCAAGGTTCAATATTGGGTCCGCTACTTTTTATCCTCTATATAAACGATATTCAA